CTACCTTAGGGCTCACTCTTGGTGGTGTACATTCTATGGGTTTGGACAAAAGTATAAAGACATATCCATCATTATAACGTCATACAGAGTTTTTTCACTGCCCTAAAAATCCTCAGTGTTCTACCTATTCATTCCTCCTGCCCTCAACCCTACAACCACTGATCATTTTAGAGTTTCCATAGTTTTGCTTTATCCAGAATGTTCCATAGTTGGAAACCTACAATATATAGCCTTTTCAGATTGGTTTCTTTTGCTTAGCAATGTATACTTAAGTTTCCTCCATGTCTTTACGTGGCTTGATAGCTCATTTCTTTTTAGCACATAAAAGTATTCCACTGTCTGGAGGTACCACCATTTATTTATCCATTTATCTACTGAAGGACATTTTACTTGCCTCTAGGTTTTGGAAATTATAAATTAAGTTGCTATAAACATCCATCTGCAGGGTTTTGTGTGAACATAAGTTTTCAGCTCCTTTGGGTAAATACCAAGGAGCACAACTGTTGGACTGTATGCTAAGAGTTTGTTTAGTTTCATAAGAAGCCACCATACTATTTTCCAAAGTGGTCGTACCATTTTGCATTCTTACCGGAAATGAATGAGAATTCTTGTAGCTCCATGTCTTCACCAGCATTTGGTGTTGTCAGGTGTTCCCAATTTTGGCCTTTCTTTTGAGTGTAGAGCAGTATCTCTGTGTTATAATTTGCACTTCCCTGATGACGTATGACATGGAACACCTTTGCATATGCTTATTTGCCATTGTGTGTCTTCTTTGGTAAGTTGTCTGTTAAGACTTTGACCTATTTTTTAATCAGGTCCATTTTCTTATTGTTGCCTTTTAAGAGTTCTTTCTACATTTTGGATAACAGTTCTTTCTCAGATGTGTGTTTTACAAATATTTTCTCCCAATCTGTGGTTTGCCTACTCATTCTGTTGTCATACAATGGAATTCTATAAAGCTTTTAAAAGGAAAGGGATAGATCTGCATGTATTGATGTAGAAACATACCTAATACAGATTATTAAGTAGGGGGAATAGTACAGAATCATGTGCAAATGCAATTTTGTGTATATAAGACAAATATTTGTTTTTCTGGAAATACAAGAGCAGAATGGTGATATGAGATTTCTCTTATTTTGTTAGTTTGTTCCTTTCTCTACTTTTCTAAATTTTCTAAGCCTTTTTTAGATGGTAGAATAATAGGTTTTAGGTAATTCTCCTCAAGTTTTTAGTATGTCTATGTTTTTAAAAATATTTTATATCTAAAAGAAAACACAAACTAAAAATTTTTAATATCATTTTTTTAAAGGGAATATTTCAAAGAAACCAAGAACATATCAGTTCCATTAAATCTGATCCTAGTTTCTCACTATTTGCTTATGGGAACTTGTTCTCCAGACTGGTTAAATATTTTAGAATTTCTTCAGTTTACTTTCCTCTGTCTTACGATTTGCCTATCTTGTTCCCTAAGTATGACATCCACTTCCTTAACTTCCTGTCATGTCTGTAATTTCTCCTCGTCTTTAAGAACCAATCTAAGCATAGCCTTCTCTAGAAAGCATTTAATTTTCAGGACAGAGTTAAGCTCTTCCCTCTGGAGTCATACACCTCTTCTTTTACAGACAGTGCTACATTGCTACGTTTTTTTCCCCTGTCTTTTTTTGAAGGACGGTAGGCATTGGGAGGTCAGGCTTTTTTATTCATTTCAATAAATCAAAAGGCATGGTACCCAGCACGGTATCTAGAACGTAGTAAGAACTTAATATGTTTGATGAATGAATGAATTTTTAATGAAAACGCTTTATTCTCAATCTAAGAGCAGTCAGAAGGAAAACTCATCTTTGGACATCCAAGGAATCCTCCATTGTGGTTAAGAACGTGGCTCTGTAGTAAGACTGCACTGTTCGACTCTCAACCCTGCCCTTTACCAGCTGTGTGACCTTGGTACCATCACGGGACTTCTCCATCTCTCTGTTTAAATCTATAAAGTAGAGATAATACTAGAACATTACAGACTTGTGGTATGTGGATTAAATGAAATAAACCCTGTAAAGAGTTTAGAACAGTGCCTATTGCATAGTAACTCTAAATACATATTATCTTTTAAAATTGTTATATTAGATCCATTCTCTGATATTTCTTTTTTCCTTTTTATAAAGTTAAAGTTATTAGAGAGAATTTTGATTAGCTTGTGTCTTTATTTGCCCAACAATGGCACGTTCTGGCTGCAGACTGACTGGCCATCGGAATCTCTCATCACTGTCTCTGCATGTGAGCACTGAGGCTTCCTTCCTTGTTGGACACCAAGCTTCCATTTTCTTCTTCACTTCGTATTTCCAGTTTGTGCTGGGTTTCAATGAGGTAGGAGTTATGCTCCTGTCTTGTAGGCCTGCTGTTCTTCAGGGCTCCATTCATATATCATCCTTTTTATGTAGCTTTCCAAAAATGTCTCCTATCAGTGGGCATGAATTATAATGTACTATGCTTGTTTGCTTGTTTACATTTCCCACTAGACAAAGCTTTCTCAGGCCAGTGATCTTGCCTCATTATTCTGTGTCCTTAGTGCCTAGAACAAGGTCTAATGGTCTAGAAACACACTAAACATCTTAAAACCTGTTTACTGCATTAAATGACTTGTGTTTCACAACACTTGAAAAAACAATTTTTTTAAGTTAAAATGGCTTCTCTGTAGCTGTGATAAATGTAACTTGCTAAGGGTTTTTTGAGTCATTTGTTTATTTGATAGAAATTTATTATACATCTACTAATTACATGTTAGACAAAGCACAGAGAAAAGCAAATACAATCCAAGCCACGGGTCTTGCCACCGAGCAGCTCACTGATTAGCAGTAGAGACAGAACACAAACGAGTGACATAGGAAATAAGAACAATGTAAACGATGTATCCAAAACAAGAAGCAGAGAGAGAATGTGCTGTGAGTTAACGGGTGGGAGCAGCAGTGTGCTGGCCATTATTTCAACAACCACCTCTCTCAGAAGAAAAGCCTCGATTTGTAGCACTTGCTAGTTTCCTGCTGTAAGTACCGTCTCCAATGCTAGTTCCAAGCTACACCTTGAGGTCACTGAATGCAAAGTTGGGAAAAGATGTATATAATTTGATCTCATTTGCCAGTTTGGGCTGGTTCCAACACAGCCTTGGATGGAAAAGACGGTTTTAGATAGGCATGGTCTGGTCATTTCGCATGGAGGAGCTAAAAATTGAAACTAGTCTTGACGACACAGAAATTAGGTAAGTCAAGGAAAATATGTTCCTGATTTGGAAAGTGGTAAATCAATGCACAGCAGCAGTAATGGATGTGGAATATTCAGGCAAGTGAACTCAGCACACAGTATGTGCTCAATAAATATATTTGTGAATAATTGAAATAGACCATCTGATTGGAGAAATGAGTCTCTGTAGGAAAAGACTTGAGAGGAAGGCTCAGGTGCCTCGTATTTTGTGGCAATCCACAAGTCTCCCTCCTCCCTTCCAATGATGCTTCTTCCTCCACCTCCATCCCCAGCATTTTTATCAGCTTGGCTGCGCAGGCTAAATGAGAAACTACTTTGACATTTGCTTATTATTCTGGAGTCACTTTAATAATCATACAGATATCTAATAGTACAGGACTAACGGAGAATTCTAAGACAGGAGAAAATCTTAATTTTCAAAGGTGGGAGAGTGGCTTCTGAAAGCTGTATATCTTCATAATAGCTTTATCTCTGCTAAAATAAACAAAGGCCTCCAAATCACTGAATCAAACTATAGCATCTTCCATAAACATAGATCTAGGCGGACTAGACAAAGAATAACCTTTTTCTCCTACCTGATATATAAATATGAAACACTGTGGTTTGCCAGGAGTCAGCAAACATTTCTATACAGGGCCAGAAACTAAATATTTTCTAGTTTGTGGGCCACACGGTCTCGGTTCAACTTTGCCATTGCAGCGTGAAAGCAGCCAGGACAGTACGTAAATGAATGATTGTGGCTGTGTTCCAAAAAAAAACTTTATTTACGAGTAAGGTGATTTGGCCTGCAAGCCACAGCTTGCACATTCCTTGCTTGGAGCACTAAGGTATGGAGAAGGCCAAGATTCTTAAAAGTTCTGAGGATCGCACTAAAGATCACAAAACTTCACAAGGACAATATGAAATAAAAGTGACTCAGTAAAAAGAGTTTAACCTTTCTGTTCTGGCAAGATGTTTCTTCCAGCATCCTTCCCTCCCATCTTTATGTACAGGTATAGGTGGTTGTGATGTTACACTGCTATCATAATTTTGGTACTTATGTACTTTCTTAAAAACTCATTTCTAAATAAACCTGACTTGGTATATTACATAATTTTTATAATATTAGAGTCACCAGGAAGGCAAGAAAAATCTGCCTAATAATCTTCCAGGCTAGTGGTCACTTATTATGTGATATTATGTCCATGTTCCTCGGAATATAAGTGAGGTGGAAATGATGACAGCTTCATCCTTGCATCCATGGATGGACACTTAGGTTGTTTCCATGTCTTGGTTATCCTGACTAATGCTGTTGTGAACATGAGGGTGTCCACAAGTTAATGTTTTTGTTTCCCTTCGATGTACTCCCATAATTGGAATTTCTGGTTCATATGGCACTTATAGAGGTTATAGAAGTCATAATAGAATTATAGAATTATATAAGAATTATAATAGTATAAATTTTTTGAGAATCTTCCATATTGTTTTCCACAGTGGCTGTACCAGTTTACAATCTCACAGCAATGCACAAGGATTCCCTTAGGAAAAAGGAGAACCACATCCAGGCCAGCATTTAGCGCTTGTCTTTTTGATGATGGCCATTCTAACAGATAGGAGCTAGCATCTCAGTTTGGTTTTAATTTACATTGCCCTAACGACTGGCAATGTTGAGCATCTTTTACGAACCAGTTGGCCTTTCCTATATCTTCTTGACATCTACTGCATTTAAAACCAACAAACACATAATTTATGAAGAAGTGCCAACCGACCTGTCAACAAATGCATGATGAAGAAGGAAAATGGGATCGTTGGCAGATCCCTGCACCTGGGACATCGTTCCATTCATGAAGATGTGCAAGGCATTGTGCATGCTGCTTTGAGAGGCATCTGCTATCCCAGTAAGTGGACTAGCAAATCCTGTTGGCAAAAAGAAAATTGAAAAAAAAATTAGTTTGTCTTCATGATGGAAAATCTAGTGATTTTCTCATTTGGTTTACGACTACAATTGAAAGCCTGACTCAAAGTAGTAAAATCAATCATGAAATTCATTCTGTCTTGGGATTCTTCACATTCTGGGTGCCCAGTGAGTATTTAACAAATCTTTGTGGAACTGAATGGTATTTATCTGGTCACAATGGACTGATTCACCAGCTGGAATAGGCAAGCCAATCTGTGCTTCCATCCCGTTGCTTCTGCCTGTTTTTCCTCCTTTAGGTCCTGAAAAGTAGTAAGGCCCTTTTATAATAACCAGCACCGTCATTCTCAGTTCAGTGTGTAACATCACTTAGAAGTAGATCTTTCCAGCCTGTCATGCATCCCCTTGCTTTCCAATTCTGGTGATTACTTTAATTCTTGTTTCTGGTTCCAGAGAAAGCATAACATTTGTGACCTTTGACATTACAATTCATCTGCAACAGTCTGGAGGACATCAGGTAATGTGTTTGATCTTGCAAAATATTCATTTCAAAATTAAACAGGCCTCCATTAAATGGCTCCATTCACTGCTGGGAGTAATAATTATAGTTACAATTTTCATAACATTAATTGGGCTGAATGCTTTTTGTGACATAAGACCTTCAGCCTTTATAGCAACTCTGTTGATCAGAAATTATCCCCATTGGAAAGAAGAGAAAACTGAGGCTCAAAGAAGTTCTGAGTTTCCCAAGCCTACACAGGTAGTGGAAGAGTTAGGATATTAACCCACAGCATTTAGATTTCAACATCTGAGCTCTTAATAATTTGTCTTCTCTCTCACACACTCCTGGGGAAGAGGCAGAGTAAGATACCACTTCAGAGTCCATTCAGGGAAAGCACAAAACATAAGCAGATCTCAGATTCAGAACCAAAGTGAATAGAGTTAAACTGTAAGTGGGCACAAAATTGAGGAAATATGGTCAAAGACATATTACTAAGTTTCAAAATTCAGAAATATCAAGAAAGCAGGAACTATAAGATGATGATGATGACAATGATAATAATAATGATAATAATAAGCTAGAAACAGTGAGGCAGTAGGACCCTGCAGGGGAAGTCTAGCTTCTTTTCACTCCGTTAGGATTATTTTGTTGTCAAGCTCTTCATTTTTAAAGGTGCAGCTCTTGACTTTTGTATTTGAAGCTTTGTTCTCTCCCACCATTGTGGCTCACGGCATTTCTGCCCCCTCAGGTGTGATTTTTTTCCCCTCCTTTTGATTTTTTTGTACTCATTCTCAGAGATTATACTGAATTTGAGTCTCTCTGGAAACTTAGCCCAAGAACACACACTGCTCTCCCCTCTGAACTCTCCTGTCTATGACAGCTTTTGTGATTATATATACACATGGCACTTACTATGTGCAGGATTTTTTTCTAAAGGCTTAACGTGATGAATTTCATATAACCTTTAGAGTAATTCAACAAATAAGGTACCTTTAAAATCTCCATTGTATAGGCTTGGATAAAGGGGTTTAGAGAGGTTAAGTAACCTGTCTAAGATTAAAAAGCAAATTAGAGAAGTTAAGTTTGGAATACAAGCCTGTTTTATTTCAGAGTTTAAGCTCTTAAATGCAATGGTTCACTGTCTTTTCTATGTAGCAATAAATCACATATCATGGAGGCAAAAGTTCTGTACAGCAATGGTCTTCAAGCTTTTATCTTTGAGTGCCACCAAATGAAAGTTTTAAAACCACGTTTCATGTACACTCATATATTTTTAAATAGATTCTAAAATGCTTTAATCATAATTGTAAATTGTTTCAGAGGATAAAAGTTCAGGTATAGCTATTGCAAATAGTATAAATTTTTAAATAAAAATTTAGTATCACTTTATAAAAATGTACCCACCTCAATGATTTGATATCAAAATACCTAAACAAACTCTTTGATTATGGTCTAAAATTTTATAGGATTTCCTTTTTTCACTTGATCTCATGTTTTTATTCTATTTTCTCATGGAAATATACCCAAATGTTATGTAAGTTATGCTTGAAATACATTTTTAAAAACTCTTTAGCCTATCATACTTTCCTTCAGCAAAAGTATGTGTAAAAGTTAAAATTACCTTTGAAAAATTTCATGTGACCATTACTGTAATCTTCTGAATTGCTATCAGTGAAAATTTTAGTAATACAAAACTTATTAGAATGTCATAAACATATTAAATATCTTACAAGGTACATTGTTAAATATAAAATGTAAAATTTCATTGGAAATTTATTTAATAACATTCATGAAAGATTGTTAATTTAAAATTATTTCATGTACCCATGGATGGATATTATGCATTGCTAGAAAGGATGAGGTTCAGCATGAATTCTATCCTACATTTTTAAAGGTAAATCAGAGTCCTGAGAAACTTTATTCTCATAAAAAAAACAAGATGGTAATGAAAAGATTTTTTATGGGAATTTTACTTAATTACTTGAACTCCTTTTCAGTTATGTATGCTAAAAATGATGTAACTGATTCAGCATCAGAATAATTTGGTCCATCAGTGACAACTCAATCAAGAATTCTTTGATGAAAACAATCTTACAAATTATGAATTTATTTACAAAGCACCCAACTTTCAGGAAGTTTGCTACCTGGTCATTAAAATCATTTACGTTAGCGACACTGGCACCAGTATCTTGACTTCTCTGCTTGTTTGGTACCTTGTGAGTTTTACCCCGTCTGGAAATGCACTGTGATGAGAATGGATTCAGAGGTATATGCCTGTCTTCTGAAAATTCAAAGGGAGATTGTAAAAGGGGAGGTGGCAAAAGAGAACCTTCAGGAAACTTTTCACTCAGATTTTAGAGAAGTACAGAAGTATACACTGCAGAAAAGTACAGTTGGGAGGAGAATCCAGAGATAAACTTCTTTAAAACTTTCTGTGCCATGTACCCTTTCGAGGGTCTTAGTGAAGCTGTAGTTTTGTGTCTGTCCTAGTTTGATGACACTGCTAGAGAGAACAAGATTTACAGAACTAAGGAACCTGGGTTGAAATTCTGTGTTACTTACTGAAAGTATTACCTTTGTCAAGTTATATTTTGTGAGAACCGATGTCTTCATTGGTAAGAGAAGGGATAATTAACGTCCATCTCAAGTACTCTGGCAACGATTAATTTTGATTGCAGGTGTGATGCACCTCGTATAGAATCCGGCACAGAATGAATGTTTCCTGAGTAGCAGCTATAACTTCTATAAGTTCATTGCATTTGATAAATGAGTGCCTATCATGAGAGCAGATAATCAAGAATATGGGACGTGCCCACTGCTGAAGAGCTTCTTTTGCCACAAATGTCCACCGTCAGGGTTCATCCCAGCACCTCCTCAACCCCATTTCCCTGCAGAAACCTGCCAGCTGCTCGCCCCATCCAACATGAATGAGATGCTTCGGGGTGATGCTGGGATTGCCATTCTAAGAGTGATTCCAGCAAGGCCAGGTCTCTTTACTCACTTCTTTCACTAGCTTGCCAGATGTTGCACCTAGGAAAGTCTCCAGTGTTGTTACGAAGGACGTCTGATTATAAGAAGCACTTGGGGTTTGTCAGGAAACCTTGTGTTATGTTCTCAGAAATAGCCCAAAGGTACAGGTGGAACAAGTACCCAGCTTCTTTGTGACAGATACCAGATAGTTGATATAGACAGTATGATTACATTAACAATTTTACATGAACTCTGTGTATCTTGTCTTTAAAAGAGACTGGAAATGCCTCAGAAATAGGGACCAAAACCTTGGCTTTGATTTTCCATAGTTAAAAATAGAGCCTTGCCCAACTTTGTGTTCTTTCAAATACAAACAGTAGAAAGCGGGTGGGAAGGCATAAAGTTAGGAGTCTGAGATTTGCAAATGTTAACCACTATATATAAAAATGGGTAAAAAGAATTTTTTTTCTGTATAGCACAGGGAACTATATTCAACATCTTGTAATAACCTTTAATGAAAAAGAATATGAAAACAAATATATGTATATGTATGCATGACTGGGACATTACACTGTACATCAGAAATTGACACACTGTGACTGACTATACTCAAAAATAATGAAATAATAAAATAAAAGAATAGGAAATATAAAATATTTATCAATCCTTCACTTACACCATCCTATAAAGACTGGGAGTAGAAAAGGTAACACTTCTCTCCATTAAATCTATAAAGGACCTTGAAAGAGCTCTACTCTATTACTTGTTAAGTGACAAAACAGAGAAAATGTCATGGACGTGAATAACATTACAATGCGAATAGATTATTTTCTATTTTACTTCTTCGCGCAAGTCCTTTTTTGGCTGGTAGGTTACCTTGGAAAAAAAATAGAAATGGTCACAGCCACAGCAGTAGTTTCTCTCGCTGAGATTTGATTCTCTTTTGGAAAAGCAAGTCAAAGAGGAAATTCTAGGCACAAATAATAATTTATACATCAAACTTATCAAATGCCTCTCATGTATATCATCTCATTTAAACCCCAGAGCTACTTGTGATATGAATAATATCATTGTCCTCATTTTACAGATGAGAAGACATAAGTTTACAGAAGTTAAAAAACACCTAAATTCAAGCCAAAAATTGAGACAATCAAGGAACTGAACATGCCTCTATTGATTTCAAACCCATGCTCTTTTCTGTACACACTGTAACTGACTATACTCAAAAATAATGAAATAATAAAAAATAAAACATAAAAAATAAAACACTAGAGTTGGGTTGTGCTTACACTGACTTGCTGACACCCCCTTGAAAATCTCTTTCAATTAAGCAACAAATGAAATGAATTTAGTGACCTGCTCTTTTCATCCACTGAATATCAGTAAGGAACAGAACGTATTACTGCCTCTCTCCTGTCCAAGGATTCCCCATGGAGGGGAAGTCTAATAAGCCATCAGGGAGCTTGTTAGCAGTTACAGATGCCAAAACGGCTCAAAGTTCTTCGTGAAGGGCAGTGACAGTTGCCCGAA